CTCCCCTCCCCTCCCCTCCCCTCCCCATCAAGACCAGCAATTTAACTTAAGAGCCAATACCATTATTTAGGATTTCTGCTCATTTTTCCTTTTGCTGCATTTCCAGTGTATAAACTCTTGGCAATTCCCTACCGATGCCCTCTGTACAGTTTTTAATATGCAGCCTATCCTCTGTGCTGCAGGAGAACAGCTAACTAGTTCATTATTTAATTAGAATGAAAAAAATGCAAAACAGATCTTTCCCCCTCCCTCCCCCAAAAAGCAAACCCAGTCTTCTACTTTGGGAAACTTTTCATAGTATGACTCTTATAGATGCATAAGGATTTTTAAAAGAGATTTGGGGGGAAACATCAACAAATAAATCAACAAACATCAACAAATAAATAAATATGGTAAGCAATCCTAAATGCATCAACAGTTAGCTTGTAGACTTAATCAATATCATACTTGCTTAGAGGCAACCTTTCTAAGAAATGTTGAGCTACAGGAAAAGGCAGTGACCAAACTGGGTGCCATTCTGACTCATAAGAGGGATAAAAGCTGATATATTATTCTGATAAGAAATGAATACTGTTCATTTCATGGGAAAAGAAGTGCAGATCACGCGCTGGTCCCATCCTCTTCAATAACTCGGTTCATGCTGGTGCCGTGAGTTATGTGAGTTACTGGATTTCCACTGAGGTCCCTGATGCTGCTGTGACGTGACTGATCATTGAGCCGGTGGGAACTGCTATGCCTGGAGTGGTCAGTCAGTCGGGACATACTGCCATGAGGTAGTCGATCTTCAATTCCACGGTAACTACAAGGGGTATATCTAATTCATAAAGACTTATCTTTTTAGTAACACGGACATGTATGCATTGAAAACATTCAAATATTATCTAATCATCCCCCAAATATATAAATTAGATAAGCAAAACTCAGATGGCTTCCAGTTTAATCCAAGCATTTCCATTTGTAGGACTCTTATCAGTGTTCAGTAAAAAAAAAAAAAATAGCATAGTTTATTACTTTTTACTTGTATGTAACATGTTGGTTCCAATTTTAAGCATACTTACTTTATATTCACTGAGGGACAAGTTAAATATGGACAATCTGACTGTAAGAAACCTCCTGGATGAGGCTATCTAGGTCATCATTCTGTATTTCATAATCAGATCTGTCATATAAGCCCATATCAGATGTGTCATATAAGCCCATAATGAGAATATAAGGGCAACAGTTTTTCTCCACTTCTGCTCTCTAACAAAGGAATGCTAACTCTTACTCTGAATATAGCACAGCCATCAGAACTGATGATCACTGATAACCATATTCTTCAAGAATTTATCTTTTAAAACCATTTCAGTTATTCTCTCCTGTTATTTTATTTATTTATTCATTCAAATACTTTAATACTGCCCAGCTCAGTCACAACTCCTGGCTGTTTACATAAGATAAAAATATAAAACAGCATGAGTAATACAAATGCAAATAAAAACAAAAAGGAAAATAACAACAGCGCTCATGTATATTGACCATCCAAATACAGTGGAACCTCGGGTTACGAACGCTTCTGTTAACGAACTTTTTGGGTTACGACCAGCTCCGGCCGCAAAATTTTGCCTCAGTTTGCGAACTCCGCCTCGGGATATGAACAGGATACGCGGCCATTTTCCCTCCCGTGACACGGTCCGCGGGCATTTTTCCACCCGACACGTGGTCTGCGGCCATTTTCCGCCCCTGACACATGGTCCGCGGCCATTTTCCGCCCCTGACACATGGTCCGCGGCCATTTTTCCGCCCGACACATGGTCCGCGGCCATTTTCTGCCC